CAAGCTCGGGAAACACGTGAGGCCATTGGAAGTAATAGCTGCTTCTACTCAAGATGAAGTGGGATTGATACCCTCCCCACTTCATGACAAGGCCAMGGCTAATGACCCCTTAGTCACCCCGCAGACACAACTAGACCAAACTATGCTCTGTCCGTTAGATGTGTCTGAAGCCTTAGAAGACTTAGAGAGTGAGTGGTCAAACAAGGACCCTCGTGAGTCTTGGGTGGCGCTGAGGAAAGGTCCTAGAGGGGAACATTTCGTGGTGGAAGTCGATGTAGGAGGCCGCAAATGTGGTGCCTTCATAGACATAGGCTCCACGCGAAATTACATAAGTCGTGACTGTTTGGAAAGGCTGCACCTACAGGACCGGGTACGACACCTTAGTAGACCAATAGCATCTACTTCGGCCAACAAGGAGCGCATGATTGTAACAGACTACATTAAGGACGTAGTCTGTGCCTTCTCCTATGGAGGAGGTGAGCTTAACCATAAGATCTCGTTCTTGGTTAGCGACGACTTGCCATTCGAAATGTTGTTAGGCATGTACTACCTCGAAGTTGCTAAGCCCTAGTTCGACTGGGATAAGAAGGTGCTCAAGCATAAGTTGCCCGATGGCCGAACTGTCAGATTGACTAAGTTCAAGGTCAGTAGTATTATAGATACCTATGGCTGCTTGTGCGCATCAGCATTCTACAACTACTATAACCAGAACCAAGAGGAGGGTATGTACCTTGTTTACGTCTCAAAGAAGGGGGAGGCCGTTAAAACACCCCCAGAGATAGAACGCGTCGTTGCTAAGTTCCCTGATCTGTTCGAGGAGCGCACAGGAGTTGTTGAAAGGGAAGTCGTCCACGCTATAAAAATCATTCCAGGGAGTAAGACCCCAAAGGGAAGGATCTATAGGATGGCCCCCGCCAAGTTAGATGAACTTGGCGACAACTTAAGGAGCTTACAGAGAAGGGTTGGATTCGGCCTAGTACTTCCCCTTATGGATCACCCGTACTATTCGTACCAAAGAAGGGGGGTACTTTGAGGATGTGCATTGATTATAGGGGCCTTAATGCCATCACTATGAAAAACGCAGAGCCTCTAGCTCGCATAGACGACCTATTGGATAGGGTGGAGGGATGCAAGTACTATAGCAAGATAGACTTGAAATCCGGATATCACCAGATCGCAATAAGACCTGAGGACCAACACAAGACAACTTTTCAGACTCGTTATGGTCTGTATGAGTTTGTAGTGATGCCCTTTGGTCTTTGTAATGCGCCTTGTACGTTCCAGCACGCTATGAATCGGATCTTTCATGACCATTTAGATAAGTTTGTCGTGGTATACCTTGACGACATTCTGATCTTTAGCAAGTCTGTCGAGGAGCACGCACAACATGTTGAGACAGTCCTCTCACTCCTGCGACAACACAAGTATAAGGTCAACTTAGAGAAGTGTCAATTTGGCCGCACTAAGATACTATACTTGGGTCATGAAGTATCCGCGGAGGGAATTAGGCCGGAAGATGCGAAGGTGGCTAGTATTCGAGACTGGCCACGACCTCANACTAAGATACTATACTTGGGTCATGAAGTATCCGCGGAGGGAATTAGGCCGGAAGATGCGAAGGTGGCTAGTATTCGAGACTGGCCACGACCTCATACAGTCACTGAGGTCAGATCATTCTTAGGAATGTGCGGCTACTATAGGAACTTCGTTAAGAACTATTCTACAGTCGCCTCTCCTTTGACTGATCTAACTCGACTTGACAAACTGTGGGACTGGAGTGATGAGTGCGAGGGTGCTTTCAAGAGATTGAAGCATGCACTTATGAATCATGAAGTAGCCTTAGACTTGGAGGCCACACTAGGCAATGCTCAACCCACCTCAGGGAATGACTCGAAGAAGAAGAAGAGTCCTCTGGAGTGGAAGAAGAAGGGGGCGAAGTTGATGATGGTTGAGTCTGATGGGACTCAAACTAAGATTGATGAGCTCTCTGACATGATGGACTACTCAGAGTATGACGGCGAGGAGGTAGCTGAGGGTAGCACCCTTGCCGCGGTAGTTAAGACTAAGGCGGCATGCCGAGGGAAGGGCCAGCCTAGGGGTCAAGGGAAGGCCGCCTCCAATCAGACCAAACAGTCTGAGTGGGTAAAGGCAGGTCTTGATCAAGACGTGTGGCGTGACCGCCGAATGTGTGGCGCTTGTATCAACTGCGGAGAATACGGACACACTCAGTGGAAGTGTCAGAACGCTAAGGTTGCGCAAAAGGTTGCGCCAAAAGTGGGGGCAACTTATTCCCAGGCTTCTAGCTCGGGAAACGCGTAGGGCCAGTGGAAGTAGTAGCGGCTTCTACTCAAGATGAAGTTAGCATGATACCCTCCTCACTTCATGACAAGGCTGAAGCTAATGACTCCTTAGTCACCCCGCAGACGCATCTAGACCAAACTATGCTCTGTACGTTAGATGTGTCTGAGGCCTTAGAAGACTTAGAAGGCGAGTGATCAAACAAGGACCCTCGCGAGTCTTGGGTGGCGCTAAAGAAGGGTCCCAGAGGGGAACATTTCATGGTGGAAGTGGATGTAGGAGGCTGCAAATGTGGAGCCTTCATAGACAATAGATCCACGCGAAATTACATAAGTCGCGATTGTTTGGAAAGGCTGCACCTACAGGACCGGGTACGGCACCTTAGTAGACCAGTAGCATCTACTTTGGCCAACAAAGAGCGCATGATTGTCACAGACTACATCAAGGACGTAGTCTGTACCTTCTCCTATGGAGGAGGAGAGCTTAACCATAAGATCTCGTTCTTGGTTAGCGACGACTTGCCATTCGAAATGTTGTTAGGCATGTGCTACCTCGAAGTTGCTAAGCCCCAGTTCGACTGGGATAAGAAGGTGCTTAAGCATAAGTTGCCCGATGACCGAACTGTCAGATTGACTAAGTTCAAGGCCAGTAGTATTGTAGATACCTATGGCTGTTTGTGTGCATCAGCGTTCTATAACTACTAAAAGCAAAACCAAGAGAAAGGTATGTACCTCGTTTATGTCTCTGAGAAGGGGGAGGCCGTTAAAACACCCCCAGAGATAGAAAGCATCGTTGCTAATTTCCCCGATTTGTTCGAGGAGCCCTCGGGGATTGTTGATAGGGAAGTCGTCCACGCTATAGAAATCATTCCAGGGAGTAAGACCCCAAAGGGAAGGATCTATAGGATGGCCCCTGCCGAGTTAAATGAACTTCGGAAGCAACTCAAGGAGCTGACAGAGAAGGGATGGATTCGGTCTAGTACTTCCCCTTACGGATCACCTGTGCTATTCGTACCGAAGAAGGGGGGTACTTCGAGGAAGTGCGTTGATTATAGGGGCCTCAATGCCATCACGGTGAAAAACGCAGAGCCTCTACCTCTCATAGACGACCTATTGGATAGGGTGCAGGGATGCAAGTACTATACAAAGATAGACTTGAAATCCGGATATCACCAGATCGCAATAAGGCCTGAGGACCAACACAAGACAACTTTTCAGACTCGTTATGGTCTGTATGAGTTTGTAGTGATGCCTTTTGGTCTTTGTAATGCGTCAGGTACATTCCAGCATGATATGAATCGGATCTTCCATGACCATTTAGATAAGTTTGTCGTAGTCTATCTAGACGACATTCTGATCTTTAGTAAGTCTGCCGAGGAGCGCGCACAACATGTTGAGACAGTACTCTCACTCCTGCAACAGCACAAGTATAAGGTTAACTTAGAGAAGTGCGAGTTTGGCCGCACTAAGATACTATACTTGGGTCATGAAGTATCCGCGGAGAGAATCAGGCCGGAAGATGCGAAGGTGGCTAGTATTCGAGACTGGCCACGACCTCAGACAGTCACTGAGGTCAGATCATTCTTAGGAATGTGCGGCTACTANAGGCCGGAAGATGCGAAGGTGGCTAGTATTCGAGACTGGCCACGACCTCAGACAGTCACTGAGGTCAGATCATTCTTAGGAATGTGCGGCTACTATAGGAACTTCATAAAGAACTATTCTACATTCGCCTCTCCTTTGACTGATCTAACTCGACTTGACACACCGTGGGACTGGAGTGATGAGTGCGAGGGTGCTTTCAAGAGATTGAAGCATGCACTCATGAATCATGAAGTTCTCATGGTTCCCGATCCGCAAAAGCCATTCATAGTGACCACTGACGCAAGCCAATACGCCATTGGCGCAGTGCTGGCTCAGCAGGATGGGAAAAAGTTGAGACCGATTGAGTACATGAGTAAGAAGATGCCATCGAAGAAGTTGGCTTCAACGTCGTTGAAGATACTCGTAGTGAAAGTCCACCTACGAAAGGGAACTCTATGCTCTCTACAAGGCACTTGTCCATTGGAGACACTTCCTTTTGGAAAGGTTCTTCTATCTAAGGACTGATCATCAGACCCTCAAATGGATCAAGACTCAACCGGCTCTTTCTGATGCACTCAAGCGATGGATTGAGGTCATAGACCAATATGACTTCAAGCTTGAGTACCTGAAGGGAGAGTATAACAAGGTTGCGGATGCGCTATCCCGTAGGTGCGTTAGTTTCTGAATTTGGCGTATCTAATGAAGTAACTCAATCATTGGTGGGAGCCTATCAGGAAGACCCTGTCACGATGGACATCATCTGCAAACTTCAGGCAAAAGACAAGGCCACAGAAAGTGAGTTTGTGTATGGTGGATGGGCTAATCTATCTTGATAAGGCCGGAGTAAAGAGATTGGTAGTTCCATCTAGTAAACAGTTGCGTAGTTTATTTTTAGGAGAATGTCATGACGCAACTGGGCACTTTGGCTACAAGAAGACGAGTGCTAACTTAGTACAACGATTTTGTTGGGCCAGAATGTTAGATGACGCGAAGAAGTATGTTGAGACCTGTCAGGTCTGTCAGCGGGACAAGCCACGAACTCAAGCACCGCTTGGGTTATTGAAGCCGTTACCTATTCCTGATGGTCCTGGATTGAGTGTTTCCACGGATTTCATGGACACTCTTGTGACCAGCAAGAGTGGTAAGAGGCACATCTTCGTCATCATTGACCGATTCACCAAGTACGCTAGACTAATACCAATGCCAGAGACAGCGAGGACAGAATACGTCATAAAGTTGTTCAAGGACAACTGGGTAAGGGACTTTGGTTAACCAAAGACCATCATTAGTGGCCGAGACGTCCGATTTACAAGTGAGTTGTGGAAGAAGACTGTGGAACAAATGGGAAGTCAACTTCAAATGACTTCAGGGAATCATCTCGAAGCCAACGGACAAGCCGAACAAATGAATAGAGTTGTACAGCACTTGTTGAGGCATTACATCAAGCCCACCCAGGATGACTGGGATGAGAAGTTACCTCTCATCGCCAGCCTGTACAACAATGCTATACATAGGAGTACCGGCTTAAGTCCTAACCAGCTGCACTTAGGATGGAAGCCTAGATCGGCATTAGACTTCCTCCTACCTGAAAACCGACCCGCTGCAACTCCAGGCACACTTGAATACGATGTGCAATATGAGAAGTTGCTGCAAGAGGCTGTTGAACATATGAAGAAGGCTCAACAAGCAATGATTGCTTCTGAGAATCAACATTGCAGGCAGTCCACATTTCAGGTAGGGGAACGTGTCTGGGTCAAGGCTAGTGAGTTAGGACAGGAATTCGGAATACCTCGCAAACTAATGCCTCAGTACTTCGGTCCCTGGGAAGTCTTGGATGTAGTGGGAGATGAAATGGATGGTCCTTCGTACGTCATTCGTGTCCCTGGTCATCTACGCACTCACCCAGTCTTTCATGCCTCAAAGCTTGCACCTTTCGCTGAGACTGATCAACTCCCTTCCAGGAGATCGATGCTGCCCCCAACCATGGATGGACAAGTCGACATCGACGACATTGTGGATCACAGGGATATGCCTGTTCCGAAGCCGCTGGGTCGAGGAAGACCTCCTAAACCCAAGAGGGAGTACCGGATCAGATTCAGGCATCATACGGATCCTAAAGAAGATCGGTGGTTTACCCGGGAGGAACTGATGGAAACAACTCCTCAGGTGGTGGCAGATTATGAACGGAAGCTAAAAGGGAAGGCACCTGCGAAGTAAGCATCTCAGCGGACTTTCGAAGCTAAGGGGGATGGAATGTGAGGATTGAGCCCTCAAGTAGGGGCCTTGCCATGATGTACATGTTTTGGGCTAAGGCCCCAGCAAGCCTAGTGCCCGCCCTAAGTGAAGGCGGGCCAGCAAATCAACAAGAGCCCTTTGTGCCAACATTTTCACGAAGTGGGGTCTATACAGTTGCAGCAYGCCAGTTGGTTGGAGTGCACCGAGTCTCGRATTTCAGCAAATGCTGAAATGCCCAGGGTCTCTRAGTTAGTTAGGCCCTGGGCACTCGAAYGTGAGGCCGACAATGCATGCTGGGTAGAGAGGCCGAAAATGCCAGAGGGAAATCGGCCCACTGTCTGAATCTGGCCGCAGGCCTTGATGAAGGAGGCGCAACTGCATTGCCCCGGGGCCCAACTGTATCGAGTTGGCTTCAGCSTYTGGGSCCCGGTCACAGGCTGAAGGGAGKYCGCCCACACGCTGMACTGGCATATAGGCAAGCAGGGCGAGGCAGCAGGAATCTTGGCCAATGCTGGCACTTGCGGGCACGCTGCGCGGATGCATATGTGCTCCGTTGTGCAATGCAGCGCTGCGCTAAGAGCAAGCAGGCCAGCGCTAGGCGGTAGGGCGCTGCCTGCATGCAAGGCACTGGCGGCCATAGTCGGGCCGCATGAGGATGTAAGAGAGGTGAAGGGCGAAGGTGGTCTTCGGAGGTGAAGGGCGCTGTGTGGGTAACAAGGGAGTGTGTGGGGAAGAGGACACGTACCTGGTGAAGGTGGAGATCGGCATTGGTGTTGACATCATCACTCGCTGGTAGTTAAGTTGTCTGGTTGCTGTTCATTGCTGTAGTAGTAGGATAGGTTGTAGAGTAGATAGGGCGCCTGGCGCCATTCACAAGAGAGAGCTACATTTGGGTTATGCTGTTGGTGTTGCCCTGATGGGCATGGACATTGACTCACGATTYTTCTGTATCATTCTCAATTGGATGGTTACTCGGTTCCATGTGCTATCTGCTTTGGCTTTGAATACTTGGACTTCAGTGTGATTTTGCATTCTGGATTTCTGTGCTTCGTCCATACTCATGTTCCTTGCACCTGGCATGAAAGACATGATTTACAGATTCTGTAAGTCCCGTGTGCTATGCCTGAAGAGGTCTACGACAAGGATGATTGAACCTTTATTTCCCACTATTCTGGTAGAGCCAGGCAGTCGGGTTCATCTGGATCTCATCACCATGCCCTTGGGCAAGGGCGGAATGAGATACATACTGAACATGAGAGATAATTTATCTGGTTATGTTGAGGCAAAAGCTTTGAAAAGGAAGACAGCTGAGCATGTGCCCGATTGGATAGAGGAGATCTATCTTAGATATCCCTTTATCAGAGAGTTTGTATCAGACAGAGGGTCAGAATTGAGAAACGAGATTTTAAGAAAAACCACTCTCAGGCTTGGTGTCAGAATCCGGTGTCGGGACAAAAACCCTGACAAGGGTATCTGCCCTGTATTTCCAATGTCGGACGAAGTCCGAACTTTGATGAAAGTTTGTGGTAAGTGGTCTGACGAAATAAGACATGCTATTGGAAAGTTCCAACTCGTTCGCAGGTTTCGGTTAGACTGAAGAGATGTGCGGCCGTGGAAAGACTAAAGTTAGAACTATTCTACCTAAACCAGCCGCGCGATTCAAGGCCTGGATAGACTCAAAGAGGGAGGCCGTGCTGGGAACAGGGCCGCAACGCAGAGAAGGTTGTTTTTTTTTTTGTTTTTTTAGCCACGGGGTTTGCTTCGCACGAAGGGCCTGGTGCCATGGCGGCCGGCTATAGGCTGCTGAGCCACGAGCCGCCGGGACGGCACCGGGTCGGTAGCGACGCAGCCATTGGCAAAGTGCGGCAGGTTAAGCCTGCCTTAAGCCACGACTAGGAATCCTACTGGGAGGCAACTCTTCAAATAGAAAAGCTGCGGATTTAGCTCCCGTGAAAAGGAGCTAGCCCAGTAGGAAAGCATGCCGAACTGATACACGACTGATGTCGGGATCGAATCCGACAAGCCCTACTGGGCGCAGCTTCTTTTAGAGCTGCTTCTTTTGCCAGGCGCGGTCTATCTCGACCGTACGATCACGATGATCACGCGACCGAGATTGGCCGCGCGAATTAGCATGGCCCCTGCGCTTTTTAGGATGACACGCATAAATCGAGAAGTGGCCCAGAATTTTTCGATTCCTGAAGGGAATCGAACTCAATCCTGTATATCAGTAGGAGAGGGGGGGAGGCGCTAGCAAGGCACAAGGCCATGTGTCGCGACCGTTGGCTTATGCCAACGGTAAGTAAAAAAAAAATAAAAAAATCTAAACTAACTACAGCGCCAGATGGTGTTACCAAAAGAGAAGGGATTTAGTATCCCAGAAGGAGAAACGAGCGCCCGTTGAAAACGGGCAGCCGTTTTTAGTAAAGGTAAGTTTTTTTTTTTCTCTTCTTTTTAATTTTTACTTTCTTTAGATTTTGTCCTAGATTTCTTTTTAGATTTTTTTGCTTTCTTTCTTTTTAGATTTGTTGTCAGGGCACCCGTTCGTTTTGGACGAACGGGTGAGACTGGGCCAAACTGTTTCGTCGGAATTACACCGACTCATCAGAAGGTTTCTCCTCGACAGTCTGGCTCTGCGCCTGAACCTGGCACCGATAGTGTCCAGGTACGGGTGCGAGCGAGCGAGAGAGAGAGAGAGAGAGAGAGAGAGAGAGAGAGGAGGGGGCAGGCACCGTGCCAGGCTGTTCTCGTTGGAGTTGCACCAACTCATCGGGAGTTGCAACCCCAACAGCCCATCTGAGGATGGGCAGCCAATGAATCTGCCCCAGATCATGGGGAAGTGCCGGCGCCCACCTTTAGGGCATTGGCACGAAGTGCAGGTAAGGCTTCGTTTTTTTTCTTTTTTCTTTTTTTTGTTATTGATATTGTTTTTCCCCTTTCCCGTTCATGAGCTGATGTTGCTCAGCCAAACAGGGAAAACGAGGGGGGCTGAAACGAAAAAAAAAAAACTGTAAAAAAAAAAAAAAAAAAAAAAAAAAAGTAAAGCAAACAAGGCAACCGCCTCGTGGGACAAAAGTACAATTTTTTTTACTGTATGGGAGCAAGAAGAACTCCCACTTCGTTTCGGGAAGAACAGCTGTGGCCGCGAGATCTCAGATCTCGCGGCCCACAGCGTGCGCATGTGGGAAAGGATTAAGGAAGAAGAAATGAAGGGGAGAGAGGGAGGACGAGGTAGTTGGGAGGGGGAGTACCTACCCCTCCTAAACTGACACTGCCCTCCTCGTTCTAGGGGAGGGCAGAGGGAAAGGTGGAGAGTTGTTGCATGCAACAGCTCGCACCTGGCTGAGATAGGAGCCATGTGCAGTAAAAAAATAGAAAGTTAGTTTTATTTTATTTTCTTTTCTTTATTGTGAGTGAGGACACTTGTCCTCACGTGGTGCTACCTCTGGCAGGAGCTGCTAGAGGTAGCTGTCAGGCTCCCGTTTTTGCAGGGAGCCTAGAAATTGAAGGGCCACTAAGGAAAAGGCTCGATACAACCTTTTCCCCGATGTATCTGCCCTGGGAAAAGAGTCCAGATACATCAAATTGTAAGGGGTTGTATCATTTCAACCCCTTATCAGAAAAATAAAAGAAAAACTGTTTTGAAAATGGCAGGAACCCAGCTATCTCGTGCGATTCCGAGATAGCTGGGAAAAATAAAAATAAAAATAAAATGGGGCATTTAAAAAAATTGCCCCACACTAAGGCTGTGGCTGTGGTGCGGCCAAAGTCAACCCTGGATCTTGGCAGATCAAGGGCTCACAGTGAGCCTACAATTTTGCCTGGGGGCTGGAGTGACGTCCAACCCTCCTCAACCACTATAAAACAGGCAGCTGTCCCCAGCTGCCACACAGAAGTATTCGTGCTGGCAAGTGTGTGACGAGCACACTTGAGTGCTGCTGGGGAGCTGAGGTGCTGCCTGGAGACTTCAAGGAGGAAGCTGGAGACCTGCAGAGGAGCGCAAGGAGGAGCTCAGCCATAGCCAAGGCAGGGAGCACTCTGCTCCCCTCCCCTCTGGTTGGTGCTGGTCCCACTGGACAGACCCAGGGACGCTGCGGGACTACGGCAGTACGGCTAAGTGGAATTTGGGCCTGGGGCCCAAATTTTACTAATTTTGGCCTGCCATTTTCTCACTACGGTGGGGAAGTGCTGCCAAAATTTTGCGGTGGTGGCCTTTAGATTTACGGCGGTGGTACGGAAGTGCTGCCGAATTTCTAAGGCGGCAGCACTAAGTTTTACGGCGGTGGTACGAAAGTGCTGCCGATTTTCTGCGGCGACGGCACTAAGTTTTACGGCGGTGCTACGGAAGTGTTGCCGAATTTCTAAGGCGGCGGCACTAAGTTTTACGGTGGTGGTACGGAAGTGTTGTCGAATTTCTGCGGCAGTGGCACTAAGCGCTGTCGAATTTCTGCGGCGGCGGCACTAAGTTTTACAGCGGTGGGGCAGAAGCGCTGTCGAATTTCTGCAGCGGCGGCACTAAGTTTGACGGCGGTGGTGCGGAAGCGCTTTCGAATTTTTGCGACAGCGGCACTGAGTTTGACAGCAGTAGTGCGGAAGCGCTGCAAATTTTTTTACGACGGCACAAGATTTACGGCAGTGACAGCAGCATTGACGCAGGGAAGGTGCCGCTAGAGTGGTGTGCTTTGGGGTGGAGTGGGCTTGACGGCCCTGTAACGCATTGACGGCAGAAGCAATGTGACACTTGCTGAAAAGTAAGCGTGGGGGTGCTGTGGCAGGTGGTCGCAGCAAGAGAGTGGTGTCGATCACTTTGGTGACGACTGGGGACGAGCACCGTCACGTCAACAGGAGCGTAATTTTATACGGTCTTCTTGAGTACACCGTACTACTTCACTCAAGGTAAATGGCTAGTCAGTTGACTCGGACCCTTTCACGCCTGAGTGAACCCACACTTTGCTCGACCCTGTTCTTTGAATGTTCACTG